ATTTTTCACAAAGAAGCTAAAATTATACAATGGAAAAAAGAAAGCATTTTCAACAAACGGTGCTGGTATAACTGGTTATCAACATGTAGAAGAATGAAATTAGATCCATATCTATCCTTATGCATAAAACTCAAGCCCAAATGGATTAAAGACCTAAATATAAATTCAACCACACTGAACCTGATAGAAGAAAAAGTGGAACGTAGCCTTCAATGCATTTGCACAGGAGACCACTTCCTAAATATAATACCAGTAGCACAGACATTGAGAGGAACAAATAAATAAATGGAACTTTCTGAAACTGAGAAGCTTCAGAAAGCAAAGGACACAGTCAATAAGACCAAAAGGAACCTTAATAAATGAAAAAAGATCTTCACCAACAACATACCACATAGAGGACTGATCTCCAAAATATATAAAGAACTCGAGACACTAGACATCAATATACCAAATACTCCAATTAAAAAATGGGGTACAGATCTAAACAGAGAATTCTCAACAGAAGGCTCTCAAATGGCCAAAAGACACTTAAGGAAATGTTCAATATTCTTAGCCATCGGGGAAATGCAAATAAGAATGACTCTGAGATACCATCTTACACCAGTCAGAATGGCTAAGATCAAAAAACTCAAAGATAGCTTATGCTGGAGAGGATGCAGAGTAAGGGGAACACTCCTCCAGTGCTGGTGGGAGTACAAACTTTGGAAATCAGTGTGGCTGTTTCTCAGAAAATGAGAATCAACCTACCTAAAAGCCTCTCAACTTTATCAACTGATAAAGAAAATGTGGTACATTTACACAGTAGAGTACTAAATGGATAGAACTAGAAAAAAAAAAAAACTATCCTGAATGAGGTAACCCAGACTCAGAAACATGAGCATGGTATATACTCATTCATAAGTGGACTAGATGTACAGCAAAGGAGAACGAGCCTATAGTCCGCGACCCCAAAGAAGCTAAGTAACAAGGAGAACCTTAAGAGAAGCATATATAGATTTCCCTGGGAAGGGGAAATAGACAAGACCTGAGAAAATTGGGAGCGTTGTGGTGGGAACAGAAGGGATGGCGAAATGGGAGGAGGGGGTAAGAAAGGGATGGGGGATGAGAACTAGAGGGAATGGGATGATGGAGATGGGGGAAGAAAGAGAGCAAGGCAAGAGATAATCTTGACTGAGGGAGCAACTGTGGGTTAGTAAGAAACCTGGCACTAGAGAAATTCCCAGGAATCCACAAAGATGACCCCAACGAGATAAAACACTAAGCAATAGTGGAAAGGGTACCTGAACTGGCCTTGCCCTGTAGTCATACTGATGACTATCTTAAAGGTCATAGAACTTTCATCTAGCAACTGATGGAAGCAGAGGCAGAGAGCCACAGTGGAGCACTGGGCTGAACTCCCGAAGTCCTATCGAGGAGTGGGAGGAGTGAGAATATGAACAAGGAGATCAACAAATACCCACTGTAACAATTAACCTGAGCTAATGGGAGCTCACCAACTTTGGCCGGACAGGGAAGGAACCAACATAGGACCAAACAAGTCCCTCTGAATGTGGGTGACAGTTGTATGGCTAGAGCAAACTGTGGGGCCTTTGGCAGTGGGACCAGGATTTATCCCTGCTGCAAGTACTGGCTTTCTAGAACCCATTCTTTTTGGTGGAATACCTCGCTCAGCCTAGATATCGTAGGGAGGGCCTTGGTTTTTCCTCAGAGCAACGTGTGTTACCCTCTCTTTGGAGTGGATGGGGGTGGAATAGAGGGGAAGGTGGAAGGAATGGGAGGAGTGGGGACTAGGATTGGTATGTAAAATGACAAATGTAGTTTTTTTAAAATAAAATTAAAAAGATCATTATTATATTTTTTTGTTGCTGCTGCTATTGTTTGGCTAGTTGGACCATTGTTGTTTGCCCTTTTCTCTCCTGTTAGTATCAGGGTGTGTTGGTTTACCACACTGAACATGATGGACTCTTTTCTTAGGTTTCTTTTCATCATGTGTTCCGATCATGAAATTTGCTCTTTTCTATGCTCTTGTGACTGGACTGCCTTACTTTCTGTGTGTAGTGTTCCTTTAAATAAATATCTCCTGTAGTGCTGAATTGGTGGTCATAGACTGCTTTAGTTTGTGCTTGTCTTTAAATATCCATTTGTTTGGGTTCTCCTTCTTATTTAGCTTCTCTAGGATCACTAATTATAGGCTCAATGTTCTTTATTTATGGCTAGAAACCAAATATGAGTGAGTGAATCCCATGTTCCACTTTTTGGGTCTGGCTTACCTCACTCAGGATAGTGTTTTCTATTTCCATCCATTTGCATGCAAAATTCAAGAAGTCCTTGTTTTTTACTGCTGAGTAGTACTCTAATATGTATATATTCCATACTTCTTCATCCATTCTTCCATTGAAGGGCATCTAGGTTGTTTCCAGGTTCTGGCCATTACAAACAATGCTGCTATGAACACAGTTGAGCATATACTTTTGTTGTACGATAGGGCATCTCTTGGTATATTCCCAAGAGTGGTATTGCTGGGTCCAGGGGTAGGTTGATCCCGAATTTCCTGAGAAACCTCCACACTGCTTTTCAAAGTGGTTGCACAAGTTTGCATTCCCACCAGCAATGAATGAGTGTACCCCTTTCTCCACAACTTCTCCAGCAAAGGCTATCATTGGTGTTTTTTATTTTCACCATTCTGACAGGTGTAAGATGGCATCTTAAGAAAAACTTATAGGCTTCCTCCTGAATATTATTAACCTTCATCAGGCGATGAAAGGAGACAGAGACAGAGACCCACATTGGAGCACCAGACAGAAATCTCAAGGTCCAAATCAGGAGCAGAAGGAGAGAGACCATGAGCAAGGAACTCAGGACCGCGAGGGGTGCACCC